GCCCCTCGGCCGGCGCCGGCAGGTTGGAGACGCGGCAGGTGAGGCGCGCCGAGCGCTCGCGGAAGACGTCGGCGAAGGGCGGCGGCACCGGCTCCACGCGGATCTCGCCGGCGGCCAGCGGCGCATCGTCTGGCGGGGGGAAGGGTTTACGGGTCAACTGGAAGGGTTTTCTTGAGGGTTTTGGGTGGTTTTGACCCAAAAATGGGTGTTGAAGTTGAGTATTGGTCAACTGGAAGACCCTTCTTGATGGTTTTGGGTGGTTTTGACCCAAAACGATCATTTGTGTTGAGTATGGGTCAACTGGAAGAGTTTTTGTGGTGATTTTGACCCAAAACGATCATTTGTGTTGAGTATGGGTCAACTGGAAGGGTTTCGGGTGGTTTTGGGTGTTTTTTATCCAAAAAAAAAAATTTGTGTTGAGTATGGGTCAACTGGAAGGGTTTCGGGTGGTTTTGGGTCTTTTCCACCCAAAATAATCATTGGTGTTGAGCATGGGTCAACTGGAAGAGTTTTCTTGATCGTTTTGGGTTTTTTCCACCCAAAATAATCATTGGAGTTGAATATTGGTCAACTGGAAGAGTTTTCTTGGTGGTTTTGGGTTTTTTCCACCCAAAATAATCATTGGAGTTGAGTATGGGTCAACTGGAAGACCCTTCTTGATGGTTTTGGGTGGTTTTGACCCAAAACGATCATTGGTGTTGAGCATGGGTCAACTGGAAGACCCTTCTTGAAGTTTTGGGTCTTTTTCACCCAAAAAGACCATTGGTGTTGACCATTGTCAACTGGAAGAGTTTTTGTGGTGGTTTTGGGTGTTTTTTATCCAAAAAAAATCATTTGTGTTGAGTATTGGTCAACTGGAAGGGTTTTCTTGATGGTTTTGGGTGGTTTTTATCAAAAAAAAAATCATTTGTGTTGAGTATTGGTCAACTGGAAGAGTTTTCTTGATGGTTTTGGGTCTTTTTCACCCAAAACGATCATTGGTGTTGACCATTGTCAACTGGAAGACCCTTCTTGATGGTTTGGGTGTTTTTTATCCCAAAAAAAATCATTTGTGTTGAGTATTGGTCAACTGGAAGACCCTTCTTGATGGATTTGGGTGGTTTTGACCCAAAACGATCATTGGTGTTGAGTATTGGTCAACTGGAAGAGTTTTTGTGGTGGTTTTGGGTCTTTTCCACCCAAAATAATCATTGGTGTTGAGCATTGGTCAACTGGAAGGGTCTTGATGGTTTTGGGTGGTTTAGACCCAAAACGATCATTATTGTTGAGTATTGGTCAACTGGAAGACCCTTCTTGATGGTTTTGGGTGGTTTTGACCCAAAACGATCATTGGTGTTGAGTACAGGTCAACTGGAAGACCCTTCTTGAAGTTTTGGGTCTTTTTCACCCAAAAAGACCATTGGTGTTGAGCATTGGTCAACTGGAAGACCCTTCTTGATGGTTTTGGGTTTTTTCCACCCAAAAAAATCATTTGTGTTGAGCATTGGTCAACTGGAAGAGTTTCGGTTGGTTTTGGGTGTTTTTTATCCAAAAAAAATCATTTGTGTTGAGTATTGGTCAACTGGAAGAGTTTTGGGTGGTTTTGGGTGTTTTTTATCAAAAAAAAATCATTGGTGTTGAGTATTGGTCAACTGGAAGACCCTTCTTGATGGTTTTGGGTGGTTTTGATAAAAAACGATCATTTTGTTGAGTATTGGTCAACTGGAAGAGTTTTCTTGATGGTTTTGGGTTTTTTCCACCCAAAATAATCATTGGAGTTGAGTATTGGTCAACTGGAAGACCCTTCTTGATGGTTTTGGGTGGTTTTGACCCAAAAATGGTGTTGAAGTTGAGTATTGGTCAACTGGAAGACCCTTCTTGATGGTTTTGGGTGGTTTTGACCCAAAACGATCATTGGTGTTGACCATTGTCAATTGGAAGAGTTTTCTTGATGACTTTGGGTGGTTTTTAGAGAAAAATGGGTGTTGGGGTTGAGCAGTGGTTGGTTCAACCCAACTCAACCCAACCCAACCCAACCCAATTCAACTCAACCCAACCCAACTCAACTCAATCAACTCAACCAACCCAACCCAACTCAACTCAACTCAACCCAACCCAACTCAACCCAACCCAACTCAACCCAACCCAACTCAATCAATTCAATTCAACTCAACTAAACTCAATCAACCCAACTCAATTCAACCCAATTCAACCCAACTCAATCAACCCAACTCAACAAACTCAACTCAACTCAACTGAACCCAACTCAACTCAACCCAATTCAACTCAACCCAACCCAACTCAACTCAATCAACTCAACTCAACCCAACTCAACCCAACCCAACTCAACTCAACAAACCCAACCCAAGTCAATCAACCCAATCAATTCAACTCAACCTAACTCAACTCAACTCAACCCAACCAAAGTCAACTCAATCAACTCAACCCAACTCAACCCAACCCAACCCAACCCAACCCAACTCAACCCAACCCAACTCAATCAATTCAACCCAACTCAACTCAACCCAACTCAACCCAACCCAACCCAACCCAACCCAACTCAACCCAACCCAACTCAATCAATTCAACCCAACTCAACTCAACCCAACCCAACCCAACTCAACCTCCACCAATCCCATTTCCTGCTCGATTCCGACGGGAATTTCACCCCAAAACCCCAAATTTTTTGGGGTTTCCCGCCCCCAAAAAGACTCACATCCGCACTCCATGGCCTTGCTGGTGTTCCTCGTCTCCTCCCCGGCCTGGCAGGTGAAGACGACGCCGCTCTCCCACTCGGCCTCCGTCACCACCACCCGGCTGCCGGCCACGAAGACGCCGGAACCTTCCGGGACCGGCCCCTCGTGGGCCACGCCCTCGCTGACGGGCGCGCCGTTGCGCCGCCAGCGGATGGGGGCGGAGCCGAGGCCGCGCCGGGAGCCGCGGGCTTGGCAGAGGAGGGTGGCGTTGCGGTAGGGGCCCTGGAACTCCTCGCGGGACGGCGGGAAGAGCGTGAGGGAGGGCGGGGAGGGCGGCGCCGCGCCGGGGCCTGGCGGGGGGAAAATGGGGGAAAATCGTGGAAATTTGGGGGAATTTGGGGGAAATTGACATTTTTGGGGACATTTTTGGGGACATTCAGGCCATTTTTCACGGCATCATTTGGGACATTCCTGAGCGCCCTTCCGCCATATTTTTTTTTGCCCGTTTCCCCCACTTTCCGCCCCATTTCTGGCGTCTCACCTGGGTTAAACACCTCGACGCTGCGGCTGCCCGCGGCGTGCCGGGCCTGGCAGCGGAAGGGCTGCCGGGATTTCCCCTCCTCCAGCCCCATGCCCAGCCGCGAGGCCGCCAGGAAGGTTCCGGAGCTCGGCAGCGCCGGGAAGGCGGCGCCGGCCACGCTTTGGTTCCGGCTGTCGCTCCAGGCGAAGCCGACCGGCGCCGGCGCGAAGCCGACGGCGACGCAGCCCACGGAGAACAGGGAGCTGGCGCCGCACGGGGACAGCGGGAACAGATCCGGGGCACGGGCCGAGGCTGCGGGGGAAAAAATTGAAATTTTGGTGAAAAAACCGTGAAATTTTGGTGAAAATACGCGAAAATCCCGTCGAGATACGCAAAAAAACAAGGTGAAAATCCGCGGAAATTCAGCCAAAATTCCATGAAAATTTTTGTGAAAATTCAAGCCAAAATTCTGTGAAAAATTCACTAAAATGTCAGAAGAATTTTAGAGAAAATTCAGTTAAAATTCCGGCAGAAATTCCGTGGAAATTCTGTAGAAATTCCCTGAAAATTTCAGCAGGAATTCCGTCAGAAATTCAGTAAAAATTCTGTGAAAATTTCACGAAAATCCACCCAAAAATTGCCTTAAAAATCCACAGAAATTCAGTGAAAATTCCTCAGAAATTCTGTGAAAATTCAGCAAAAAATGCTGCAAAAATTCTGCAAAAAATTCCATAAAAATTCCACGAAAATTTCACAAAAATTCCGAGACAATTCAGCAAAAATTCTGCAGAAATTTTGGGTTTTTTGGGGGGAAATTTTGGGATTTTCCACCCAGGTCAACGCAGCCGACAGAGAACAGGGAGCTGGCGCCGCACGGGGACAACGGGAACAAATCCCGGGCACGGGCGGAGACTGCGGGGAAAAAATGTGAAATTTTGGTGAAAAAAACGTGAAATTTTGGTGAAAATAGGCGAAAATTTTGTCAAAATACGTGAAAATTTGGCGAAAATCCATGGAAATTTAAGCAAAATTCAAACGAAATTTTCATGAAAATTTTTGCAAGAAATTTTCAAGAAAATTCTAAAAAAAATCAGTGAAAAATCCACCCAAAAATCTGTTAAAATTCCAGCACAAATTCAGTGAAAATTCCGTCAAAATTTGGTGAAAATACATGGAAATTGAAGCAAAATTCACACCAAAATGTCATTAAATTTTTGCAAGAAATTTGCAAGGAAATTCTGAAAAAAAATCAGTGAAAATTAAGTAAAAATTTCACCCAAAATCCCCTAAAATTCCAGCAGAAATTCAGTGAAAATTCCGTCAAAATACGCGAAAATTTGGGGAAAATACATGGAAATCAAGGCAAAATTTCTACAGAAATTTTATGAATTTTTTTCCAAAAATTTGAGGGGAAATACTGAAAAAAAATCAGTGAAAATTCAGTGAAAATTCCACCCAAAAATCTGCTAAAATTCCAGCAGAAATTCAGTGAAAATTCCGTCAAAATACGCGAAAATTTGGGGAAAATCCATGGAAATTCAAGCAAAATTTCCACGAAAATTTCATTAAATTTTTGCAAAAAAATTCAGAAAAAAATCAGAAAAAATTCAATGAAAATTAAGCGAAAATTCCACCCAAAAATCTGCTAAAATTCCAGCAGAAATTCAGTGAAAATTCCATTAAAATACGCGAAAATTTGGTGAAAATCCATGGAAATTCAGGCAAAATTTCAATGAAAAATTAATGAATTTTTTGTGGAAATTCTGTGAAAAATCCCACAAAAATTCCAATAAAAATGGGTAAAAAATTCAGAAGAAATGAAGTGAAAATTCAGCTCAAATTCTGGCAGAAATTCCTTAAAAATTCTGTGAAAATTTAATGAAAATCCACCCAAAAATTGCCTTAAAAATCCACAGAAATTCAGTGAAAATTCAGCAAAAAATTCCTCAAAAATTCCACAAAAATTTCACAAAAATTCCTCAAAAATTCAACAAAAATCACACAAAAATTCCACAAAACATCCTCAAAATTCCATAAAAATTTCACAAAAAATTCCTCAAAAATTCCATAAAAATTTGACAAAAAATCCTCAAAAATTCCACAAAAAATTCACAAAAATTTCACAAAAAAATCCTCAAAAATTCCACAAAAAATTCACAAAAATTTCACAAAAAAAACCTCAAAAATTCCACAAAAATTCCACAAAATTTCTGCGGAAATTCAGAAAAATCCAGTCCAAACCAGTCCAAACCAGTACAGGCACCCTCCACTACCCCAGCTTTACCAGTACAGACCAGTACGGACCAGTACGGGCACCCCCAGCCGTCCCAGCTTGACCAGTATGGGACCAGTACAGACCAGTACAGACCAGTACAAACCAGTACGGACCAGTACGGGCTGGAACCAATCCGAACCAGTATAAACCAGTACAGACCAGTACGGGCACCCCAGCCACCCCAGCTTGACCAGTATGGACCAGTATGAGCTGGGAGCAGCCCAAACCAGTACAGACCAGTCCAAACCAGTACGGACCAGTACAGACACCCTCAGCTACCCCAGCTTGACCAGTACAAACCAGTATGGACCAGTATGAGCTGGGAGCAGCCCAAACCAGTACAGACCAGTACAGACCAGTCTAAACCAGTCCAAACCAGTTCAGACCAGTACAGACCAGTCCAAACCAGTACGGGCAATCTCAGCTGCCCCAGCTTGACCAGTACAGACCAGTACGGACCAGTACAGACCAGTAAGGACCAGTATGAGCTGGGAGCAGCCCAAACCAGTACAGACCAGTACAGACCAGTCTAAACCAGTCCAAACCAGTATAAACCAGTACAAACCAGTCCAAACCAGTACGGACCAGTACCGCCACCCTGCTAAATTAATTCCCTTAAAGCCAAATAAAATTAAATTAATTCCCTTCAAAGCCAATTAAAATGAAATTAATTCCTTTAAAAACTAATTAAAACCGATTAAAACTAAATTAATTCCATAAAAGCCAATTAAGACCGATTAAAATTAAATTAATTCCTTTAAAACCTAATTAAAACCGATTAAAACGAAATTAATTCCCTTAAAAGCCAATTAAAATCAATTAAACCAGAATTAATTCCCTTAAAAACCAATTAACGCTAATAAAAAGTAAATTAATTTAATAAAAATCAATTTAGAAGAAATTAATTCTGCTAAAAACCGATTAAAATCAATTAAACCAGAATTAATTCCCTTAAAAACCAATTAACGCTAATAAAAAGTAAATTAATTTAATAAAAATCAATTTAGAAGGAATTAATTCTGTTAAAAACCGATTAAAATCAATTAAAGCAATAAAAACGGAATTAATTGCTTTAAAGCCAATTAAAACCCAATAAAATCAATGAAAGCCAATTAAAATTAAGTAAAACCAATTAAAAACCAATTAAATCCAATTCAAATTAACTAAAACCCAGCGAAATCCGATTATGGATTAATTAAACCAATAAATCCAATTAAAATCGACCGAACCAAATTAAAAGCCGAACAAAACGGATTAAAAATCAATTAAAGCCAATTAAAAATCGATGGGAACCAATTAAAATGAAGTGAAATTGATTAAAATTCAATTGAAGCCTAATGAAGTTAATTAAACCGGGAGGAAATCAATTAAAACCAAATAAAATTAACTCAATTCAATTGAAGCACAATTCAAATTAATTAAGCCAAATCAAAATTAAATTAAATTTAAATTTAAATTAAATTAAATTAAATTAAATTAAATTAAATTAAAATTGAATTAAATTAAATTTAAATTAAATTAAATTAAATTAAATTAAATTAAATTAAATTAAATTAAACGGGACTAAAAGTCCATTAAACCAATTAAAAGCGATTAAAATTAATTAAATGGATTAAAAATGGCGAAAAATGCAATTAAAATGCAATTAAAATTCAATTAAAATTCAATTAAAATTCAATTAAAAATTCAATTAAAAATTAAATTAAAATTAAATTAAGAGTTCAATTAAAACCGATTAAAACCCAATTAAAATTAATTAAAATTAAACACAATTGAAAGTCCAATTAAAACCCAATAAAATCAATGAAAGCCAATTAAAATTAAGTAAAACCAATTAAAAACCAATTAAATCCAATTCAAATTAACTAAAACCCAGCGAAATCCGATTATGGATTAATTAAACCAATAAATCCAATTAAAATCGACCGAACCAAATTAAAAGCCGAACAAAACGGATTAAAAATCAATTAAAGCCAATTAAAAATCGATGGGAACCAATTAAAATGAAGTGAAATTGATTAAAATTCAATTGAAGCCTAATGAAGTTAATTAAACCGGGAGGAAATCAATTAAAACCAAATAAAATTAACTCAATTCAATTGAAGCACAATTCAAATTAATTAAGCCAAATCAAAATTAAATTAAATTAAATTAAAATTAAATTAAATTAAATTAAATTAAATTAAATTTAAATTAAATTAAATTACATTATATTAAATTAAATTAAATTAAATTAAAATTAAATTAAATTAAATTAAACGGGACTAAAACTCAATTAAACCAATTAAATGCAATTAAAATTAATTAAATGGATTAAAAATGGCGAAAAATGCAATTAAAATGCAATTAAAATTCAATTAAAAATTAAATTAAAATTACATTAAAAATTAAATTAAAAATTAAATTAAAATTAAATTAAGAGTTCAATTAAAACCGATTAAAACCCAATTAAAATTAATTAAAATTAAACACAATTGAAAGTAAATTGAAACTCAATTAAAACTCAATTAAAAATAAAGAACGAATTAAAAACTAATTAAAAACCAATTAAATTTCAATTAAAATTATATAAAATTAATTAAAATCGAATTAAAACTCAATTAAATCTCTATTAAAACCAATTAAATCTCAATTAAAACCCAAATAAATAAATTTTTTAATTAATTAAAACCTAATTAAAATTAAAAATTCTCAAATTTCTCCCCAAAATTCGCTTTTTTCCCCTCTAAAAACCCCAAATTTTGACCCAAAAATCGAAATTTTGACCCAAAATTCTCTCCCCAAAAATTCAATTTTTTTACCCCGAATTCTTCTGCCCCAAAATCTCATTTTTTACACCAAAAAATTCAATTTTTTCCCCTAAAAAAATCGATTTTGTCTGCCCCAAAAATTCAATTTTTAACCCAAAATTTACTCGAAAAAAAATCCAAATTTTCCCCTCTAAAAATTCGAATTTTTGACCTAAAAATTCAATTTTTTACCCCAAATTTTCCTCCCAAAAATTCAATTTTTTTCCACCCCAAATTTTCTCCCAAAA